TTCATAAAGTTTAGCTTGTTTAAATGTAGCAGCCAAAGATTTTGGTTCATGTGCTCTAACCTTGTGTTTCAATTCATCCTTTAAGCCCCTAATAAAACTAGAAATAAAATATTCTTCCCCAAGATGAGGATTCTGTTGTATGATAAGAGGCATTAATTCATCAAAACGTTCCTGATACTCTTCCACAGTACCATTCTGAGTTAATTTGTTGAACTCATCCACCACATCAATATATGTACTACTGCCAAATCTGTGACACAAATCAGCTGCAAACTCATGCCAAGTAACCTTATGTTTGTGCATAAGATACCCATCAAACCACGTTTCAACATTTCCAGTCAAATACATAGAGGCTATTTCAATCTGTTGAAATTCAGGAATAGCAAATATTCTGAAATATTTTTGACATTTTTGCAACCAACTCCTAGGATTAGAACCATCAAAGAACTGAAGTTCAATTCGAGGTCTAGAAAATGAAACAGAATCACCAACATTAGCAGGAATAGCACTAGAATTCTCTCTTGAGTCATCTCCATTACTAACCAGTCTCAAAGATGGAACAGTTGGCAGAATAGGATTAGATTGTTTATCACCAGGTTTAGATTGTAAAATACCTAGTTCTCCAGGTTTAAAAGAGTATCTTTCATGCTCATTAATTATAGTAACCTCAAAAGGTATCTTACCTTCTATTTTTTATGCAGGAATTTCAACTCCTTTCTTACTGGCTGCTGGAATTAAGTGATCACCTTCCTCTGCACTTTTTGCAATCATCTGAATAATCTTCTAAAGATACCAATATTTTCTATAGAGTGAGCTTCCAAGGTAGCTAAACGTTCCTCCCATTTCTCACGTTGAACAACCTACCATTTCGGCACTTCCTCTGGCTGCTCGACAAGTAAAGTATCAATTGCTTCAATCGGATTCGTTTCAGCCATTTAAGTATTTTTCTTAGGCATCCCAAAAAAATATTCGAATTTTGGATCAATTAACGTGGCTTTGATTACCAAATTGTCACAATTGCAATGAAGAAAGTAATAGAATTGGGGATTTTAGAAATGAAGAAAGTTGAAGATGAAGAATTGCATTGAAAAATCTCAGCATAATTCTCAATTACAATTATGTTACATATATTTAATAACAACAGCCAATTATTTGTGTACAGCTGTCACTGCCTTTGTCTTGTAGTCTAACTGCTAGATTCCTGTAACAGATTGCTTCTTGGGCTTCACGATTGGGCTGTCATCATCTCCTGGTCTTCAATGGTTGTAATGACTTGGGTCTCTCTATCAGGCCGGCCCGATTCCACATACCCATCAGATTAGTTATCTCCCTTGGTTTACTCCAAAACCACAATTCCATTAGGTAAGTTTCTCGATTCCTCTTTCTCCCAAATCCCTAGCCTTTGAGTTCCCAATTCCTTGAACCCTAATTCCATCTCTTCCCCCAAATCTGTTCTCTATTTCTCCAGCTACCATGACAGAATACTCAAGGTAATCATACGTCGATGCTATCGTTCTGGCCATCGCATGTGTTTCTAAGTGTTGTCTTGATGCGTAGGCTTCTCGGTCTACCTGAACCTTCTAGAAATCAAGTTAACTTGAGTCGAACTGAGTCAACTCAAACTGGTCTGAGTCAACTCAAATCGATATGACTTGTTGACTTTGACCCAGACCATTGACTTTAACCAGAGTTGATTTTGACTTTGATTAGGGTTGACTTTGACTTTGACCAAAATTTGAATTTTCCTGAAAAGTCATATTTTATATTTCTTGACGTCTTGAGTACAAATTTGTGGTATGTTCTATGAAATTCGAACCCAATAACCTTTTTTAGTATTTGATCTGAATTTTCGAGCTAAAGTCTCATTTTTTATGTAATTCGTTTTTCTATGTATACGAGATATTATGGGACATCGAACACAAGTTTGAAAGCAATCGAAAAGAGTGTAAATGATCGATTGATGTAGCTCAAAAACTAAGGTAATACCTTACTATCCTTTGTATACTTTATGCACTTGTTGGTAATTTGGTCAATGCATGAATGTTTATGTTTGGACTTTTGATTATTGTTGATTATTTTAAACTCAATTTTATTACGATAAAATGTTAGTAAACTAATTAAGACTTGGATGACTTAGATAGGAAATTAGATGACCAATAGGAAACCCCAAAATTAATTATTAATTAATGAATCAGTTAAATTTGAAATCCTCAATTATGACTATTCATGTGGAAATATTTAATGCTAGAAATATTTGGATGTGGAATTACGAAAATATCCTTGTAGTGTAAAAATGAAAAGAACTCCCCTGATATTGAAACTAACTTGAGAACTCAAACTTGACCCAATAAGGCTACTGATTCACCTGTTAAATTCCTAATATGTTTGGTGAGAATTTGGCAATTGGTTTCTAGCCTCCTAGATAGCGAAAGCTTTAAATTTTATAATTCCTAAATAATCACTTGAATACCAATTTATCAGACGTGATGCGTATGATTGATCTGAAGGAAATGACCAAAATATCTCGTGCTCCAAAATACCTCAGGTTTTAGAATGGCTTAAATACTCTCTTGACTCAAATTAAGTAAATATCTTTGGATAGGTTATGAAATACCGTTGAAGCTTAAACGTTATAACATTCCTAAGGATTTCGATACATGTCTAAATATGTTAGTCCTCCTCAATTTTTGTACAATACAAGAATAAAATAAATATCGCCTCAATATATGTTTGTCCCCTCAGGCTGTATTTAGTGATGATTCTAAAGGTAACTGATTCAGTTATATAAGGCAGTCAATATCAAGCAATGTATATTCGTGAGGTTTCTTGCCTGCATACTTAGTAAGTAACACATAGTTGGGATTTATTCTGTTCGATTTGACTCGAAAACCCGATAAACCGCCTAGAATCTGGAATATTGTAAATCTCTATTTACCCTTATTATATTAAATTACCAAATTCCTTAAGAATCATATGACTAAAATGCCCTTATAAGTTAAATTGGTGGAATCACTCATGTTATATTTGAATCTTAAATAATTATTATATAAAGATTCATGTATACCTTCCTGACGCACTTGAATCCTAAAAGATCTTGAAATCATCAATTTCTAGATGTTTGATTAGATGTATTAATGATCGAACCCTTTTAATAGGGACATCAATTCTAAAATTCGATCTATTTATAGAACTTCTAGGTTTTCCTTTCCATATAACTACCAAGTGCGTCTAAAAAATAATTGGATCCTCTAGTGTGTCTCTGGTGTACTATATGACTACTTAATATGCTTTGGAATATGATTGTTTTATCTGTTTTAATTTATGAATGTTTTATCTATTCGAAATCCCAACTTTTGATTTACTATTATAAACTATGTTTTCTCGGTATATGTTCTCTGATTACATGTTTTACTGAAAAATATAAATATGTCTTATATAACTATTTAGTATATGAAACTATTTTATTTGGGGTACTTTCTGAGATGTATTATAGAGTTCTGGATGTTCATCTCCAATCAAGTTGGTAATTCCTTATGGATCTAAGGTGACCCTTAGATAAACTCTTAGGCCCCAAGGTACTCCCTTAGATTGACTCTTATAGTTAATGGGTATAGGTTAAGTCCTTATGGATGTAGTTCTGAAGGACTGTATTTTGGTGTACGAGTAGAGGGTAAAGGGTAATTATGTGATTTAAATAAACATCATTCAATTTTAAGATATTTTACTGGCACATGATTCTGGTAGTATAGTTTATTTCTTAAATTAATTTATATTGGGATACTATGGGATCTGCTATGGAGTCTAAGCATGTTCTCCAGAACTGCATATCGGTTTTTTGATAGAGGGTATTATTGTGAATTTAAAATCTATTTTTTGAAATAAACTACTATTGTTTTTAAACTATATGTACATTTATTTCTAGTTTTGTGGGAACACACTAGACACCCCAAATCAATCTCTTGAATATGTCTCTCTAAATGTTTCCTATAGACCATAGGTTTTCCCAACTATTACCTGAATAATTTAATTAAATAAATCTATGCTCATCACAAAAACCTATAGATGCATGGATCACTAAGGAAATTACATGTTTTACCATATATTTGCTTGGTCTTTAACATCTTTTGGTAGTTTTATATTACTGAGTTTTCCCAAAGCTTATTATGTTACTTAGCATTTCAGATTAAAGGAAATGATCTTTTGCTGTTTGACATCAGTTTTGGGAGTTTGTTCAACGATGCTTGTGGAGTATGGTATTCATATAATTAGAAGGCATGTAGATCACATTTTGAATATATATTAAAGTATGTAACTTATTTTGATATTGTGTGATTGAATTTTGCTTTTAATATATATATAAATGTTTCCTGAACTTATACAATTCATTTATAAATTATTTAAAGTTTTATATGATTTGACGAAATTTTAATTTTTTTCTGAAAGTTTACTGTGAGTCGCTCCGGTAACTCTAATGTGACACCTCGGATCGGATCAAATCACGTGTATCAGTTTGAGGGAGTTACAGGGAGTCAAAAGGACTGAAGTAAATGGAGCATTTGGTAGAGTATCCGGGTTTATTACAACAATTTTTTAGGACTGGGACGGGTAAAGATAGTCATAGATCAAGATGGACTGAGTTTATGAAACCTAGAATTAAAGGAAATTATGTGTTTAAAAATGCTCGAATGCATAAACTTCATGTTGTTATATTAGTAACAATACCAACTGAGCGGTAGCCCCATTAGCTGAATCAAACAAAAATCACAATTTGAACTTGAGCATAAATAATAGTTCGAAATCAGACACGAATACTGAACGAAGTTGACCACTTCAACTTGTATATGAAATTGAGTTGCAACTTTAAAAATAAAACTCAATCAAGCTGAGTCTAACATAAACCTCTTATCAAATAATATATTTCACGGCACAAAAGTTCCAAGGGTAAGACCCATAAACTTGAATGTTTTAACAAGCAATGAAATCTAAAATTTTTCCTAATCTGCCAGAGAAAATTGTCTACCTTTCAACCAAAAGTTGTGTTGGGGAAGTTAATTAGCATTCAGAGCATCGAGTTGCCTTCGGAGATCTTCGAGGTCGTTGATAGCCATATCTGGGGCTCCAGATGCTGGTGGCTTTAGAACTTCATCGGCAATCGGGAGCTCATGGGTGAGACCTTCGGGAAGAGCATCTGAAAGAATAGGAAATTACATTCAGAAATGAAATATTGCAGTATTTCGGGCACTGAAATGATGCCGTTGTAAATTTGCAGTAATAGTGTCGGAAATGTAGATGAAAACCGGTACCGGCTCTGGTAGAGATTTCACCATTATAAATAGGGTTTAGGGATCAACAGATTAAAAGATAAGCAACGGAAATAACCAATACTTTTATTTATCTACTTGGGACTATTCATATATTAACCAGAAGTCTAGGAAAAGAGAACACCAATATTGCTCGAATTCTTTACTATGTACGACCAAAACTGGAATTTGATATAAGGATATGACCCTCCAATGTCATTCCAAATACATGAAAAAAGCTTCAAAAATATACATGTGTCAGATATATACCCATTCTGACACTCACATTTAATTTCGAGTAACATAGGATACTGCAATCACGTACAAAGACTAGATGAATGTTTGAAAATAAGGGCAGAAAATAGAAAAAGAAACCTGAACTTGTGCCAGGTGTACTCTTCGGCTCATTATCATCGACGACACTGTAAAAACAAAAGAAAAGAAAACCAAAAAAATGCATAAGCTGGCTAATTTCCAAAAGTATAACCATATAATGATATGATCCATGAATGTAACATGCAGCAGTCACTATTCTTCCAGGATTGTGTTTTGTACATAGTGTCATATAAACCAGACCAGTTGATTGAACCAGGAATCAGTGGTTCATCAGGTCCAGAAAACACCATCCAACTGGGAATCCTTTGAACCAGCTAAGAACTGGTTGAACCGATTGGTAAACTTATATTAACGACACCAGTTAAACCCCTTGGATACTTACTTTTATTAAATCATTGTTATATGTAATATTTATTTAGTATTAAAATTACTTATTTAATTTTTTTAAGTTCAACTGGTCTAGCAGAACGGGACCCAAAGGTCTTACCAGTTTGACCTCTGATCTGATTTTAAAAACATTCTGTACCTTATGTTCCATTCATTATCAGCGTGAACTGGTACATCTGCTACTATAACCTTCGCCTCGGCCTCCATCTTGGCTTTAGCCGCAGCATCCCTGGCTGGCTTTGCAAGAAGGTATTCTTTCTGCAACGTGATAATTAAATCCAGCATCAGAAGAAAACTGAAACAACCCGCAACACAGAGAAAACTCTTTCTCTTACAGACAAGCAGCATTTGAACATTGTGGATTCGGCTTCATTGCCATAGTTGGGAAGAAATCTTTAAGAGAACTGTACCCCTGCAATTAAGCAAAAAAGCTAAAATCTATAAGAAACCAACGGTAAGTACATGAAGCCATTAATTTTTACAATAAGCCGGCCCAAGAACACATTGTAGAGCATTACATCAACCTTCTAATAGAATGATCTACCCACGGATTATTACAGAGGAAGATAAAGCAAGGATTCAACTTAGGAATGGCAAAAGTACCCCAAAACCATCGGGTTTTGGCCCACCATGACCTACAAGAACTTGTTCTCTCTATCTTACAAAAATCGAGGGGTGTCTTTACTTTTTTAAGAATTTATAACCTATATATTTATAAATATTTTTAATTATAATTTCTAAGTTTTATGAGATTTTATAACACATTTGATTTAGTTTCAGCATTGGGTCAGAGACAGGTGCTAAAGAATTAAATGAAGTTTGGGCTAGGGTGGGGTGGGGTGGGTTCGGATATTCATAAGTAAAAAACAGATCAGGGAAAACATGCCTCGCCTCATTGCTATCCCCCATTAATCTACAGACACACATGCAGAGATGGGAGCAGGGAGGGAGAGTTGAGTGATTTACCAAGTAGGGAGAAACCTGTCCGAATTTCAACAAGAACTTAAGTGTGTTTTGGACTAGAAGCCCAGCAACAACTCCCTGAAAAGTTAGTTCATACACGAAAAGGTCAGTCCATGCATGCGATATCGATAGAATCATTCATGTTGTAAACTCACGAATACATATATGTTCCTATGTAGATAGATGCATTTATGTCTGTATGTTCGGATATAGATGCAGGCACCCTTCCTATAGACAAGAAAAAGACAAAAGGAAACCAGAAAAAGAAATGCTTACCATGGTAGTTGGCAAAGATGCGGCACAAACCCCTTCACGCTTGAGTGTTCTTTCATCCACTCCAGATGCTACAACCTACAAATGAATAGGATGTTGTATTATCATATTCAAGTTTCACTTTCATGATTATATAACTTATTGCTCGCAAACTCAAGATTTCACATATATATTAAGCTAATAGCATATATTAATGGACGAATGTACCAAAGGAGGTGCACATGCGAAACATGCAGTTTCTCCTGGAATCAGCAACTGTATATGACCTGAAACTGCATCTCAGATACACCTGTCCAAAATTTTCCTCATTTTAGTCAAAAGCAGCAGCAGAGCAGCAACTGAAGCACAATTTTGTATTTTTACTAGGAATCTATTTTCAGTGAAATGAACCATGGCTACACATATACAACATGCAAACACCTCAAAGATCAAATGGCCTAGTTAAAAGGTTTTACACTGTAGTCCATGGTTGTCAAAAACAGACTGGACTAACCGGTTCATCCGGGATCCAATTGGTCTGGTAGTTCAACCACATAAGCTAAATAGAAAAATATTTTCCTAATTTAATGTTTTATTATGATTTTTCTTAATTTGTGTTAATTTATATACAATTTAGAAAAAATAAAAAAGTTGCAGATGGTTGAACCACCCAATTTAACCAGATGAACCAAGGATCAGACGGCACACCAGTTCAACCTCCAGTTCAGTTTTTTCAACCATGCTGTAATTATTGCAAATTAGAACGTGTCAATGGTAAGTCCAAGTCTACCCATAATTTTTGGTGCCATTATAAGAATACTGAATCAATCTAGTACTCGATACTCCATATGCTTCCTTAAACATTCTGTAAATATAATCAATTTCAATTTATTGTGGAAATGCAAGAGGTCAGAATCATTGAGGTTTTATAACTAAAACAAGTCTATTGCTTCCACGGGATTTCATGCATCTTTAAAAGGAAACTTACTATTAGATTGAGAATATTAATAGAAAACACTAGTTTGGTGTCATACTTCCACCGATTGGTTCAATTAACATGGTTAATTCCAATTTTTTCCGTGTATTTAGCGGATCCTTTCTGATCATATCTCCATATCTATGTGTTGTACATGACAGTCAGAGAATTAAGTTCTCACCAGACTCCATCCATGTTTGATTCAACTCGTTGCAGGCCTGTATATACACAATAAGATAAGATCTAGAATCAAATATGCTAGAATATTAAACAGTTCCTATGCAAGAAGGTCATCAAAATGAGGCATAAAAGAAAAGTAAGCATGTCTGATGCAAAGTCAATATACCTGGTTGACCACCATCCTTGCTTCATAATTGTCTACACAGCTTAAAACAAGATCAACTCCGTTACCTTCCTTGGTTGAGCGAAATGTTTTATTCTTTAAGCTTGACATAAAGGTTTCAAAGCCTTGTACAGTTGTGATATTCAGTGTATAGCTCTAAAGAAGATGAATCAATCAATGTGGTAAGTTCTAAAATTGCTCAGTGAAGGACCGAATTAATTGTCTATTATTATAAGCGTATGCATAATGCTTTTACCGTTACTTAATTAATTAGATAAAAATCACACAGTCTATACAGAGAAGACAAATCTTGTAAGATAACAAAAAAATTATTAAGTCTGTCTTTTGTTTCACTAGAAACTGAAAGCCTAAACCTTGGCATCACTTCCTTGTAAACCAATGTAGCATGCACATTAAGATCAAAAACGAAAAACAGAATGTAAATTGTCAACAAACTCTAAATGAATATGTAATGAAAAAAGGAAAACAAAACGTATGTAAAACACTCCAACTCCACACCACATAAACTTAGTTTTCCACACTCCAAAGTAGACCATGAATTGAAACATCATCTAATTAAAATCAAACTCACCCCACCTTTTGCGTTAGAAAACATAAAGGTGACATTCATGAAAAACACTTACCTCCAGCACAACATCAGGATTTATGTCTGACAGGGTCTGAACAGCAGCATCAGTCTTTGTCATACCAACCTTTACAAGATATTTGAGAGTCAGATTATTCAAATTAAGGTACAAAGCCAAGCTTCTGGCTTTACAACCATGCAAAACATGTGGTTGCATCCAAAAGGTTAGTGGGAATTTGTAGGAATTATAGAGATGATTTGTTACCATTCCTATAGAGATATGATTTGTTACCATTCCTATAAAGATATGATTTTGTAAATAGATTTCTACAATCCCTTATTTTAAGGGATCATATCCTAGGATTATTATTTTTCCTTTCTTAGAGTTTCCTACTTTAGAGAGATATTTTGTATATAAATATGTAATCTGTCATATTGAAAAGAATAAGAAATTACAGAGAATTACTCTGATTTCTACATGGTATCAGCTTAGGTTACGGTTTCTTTCCAACCTAGATGATGTCCACAGCTTCTTCTCCTACTCCGGAGATCACTTCAAATCCAGAAAATTTTTCTGGTTCTGCTGCTCAATCAGAAGGTAATCTGGTCATGAAAGAACCAGAAGATAAACCTCATGCTACAGTTTTTTTCTCCTCCCAGTCGTCCCCTAATTGGATCCTCGATTCTGGTGCTACGGATCATATGACTGGTAATAAGGATTTGTTTTGCAATTTTTTTCCAAACTTTGGTAAAGTTGCCAAAACGGCTGATGGTTCTTTGTGCAAAATAGAAGGACATGGCACTGTTATTCTCAATGACCAGATTATACTTAAAAATGTCCTCTTCGTACCAAATCTGGCTTGCAATCTCGTTTCCGTTAGTAAACTTTCCACCGACTTGTACTGCTCTGCAATTTTTAATGATATTGATTGTACTTTGCAGGCACTGAACTCGAAAAAGATGATTGGTAAGGCCAGCTTGCAGAATGGTCTCTACATTCTTCCTGCTTCTACTAAAACCGAAATCTCGAAATCTTTCAACGCTTTAGAAAAAGTTGATAATGTTATGTTATGGCACTATCGTTTAGGTCATCCTAATTTTCACTATCTTGCAAAAGTTTTTCCTGCTCTATTCATTCATAAAAGGCCAAATTCTTTTTTTTGCAAAGTTTGCTCTCTTGCCAAACATACTAAATCAACTTATTCTCCTTCTACATATAAGCCTTCTCACCTTTTTGCTTTGATCCACAATGATATTTGGGGTCCTTCTCGGGTGAAGAATGCTGATAATTGTAAGTGGTTTATCACTTTCATTGATGATCACAGTAGGATAACTTGGACTTATTTGCTAAAAGATAAATCTGAAACTGCAGGTGTTTTTACCCAATTTTATAACATGGTTCTCACTCAATTTGGGTCTAAAATTCAGCTCTTTAAATCTGATAATGGAAGTGAATTTTTTGCTAAGTCTTTGGGTGCGTTTTTCAGGGAAAAGGGCATAGTTCAGATTAGTTCTTGTGTTGACACCCCACAACAAAACGGTATTGCCGAAAGAAAAAATAGACACCTCCTTGAAGTTACTCGTTCTCTTCTATTTACCACTAATGTTCCAAAATATTTGTGGGGGGAAGCCTTATTAACTGCCACATATTTAATCAATCGAATGCCTAGTAAGGTTTTACAATTTCAAACACCTCAATCTATATTTTTGCAATACTTTCCCCATTTTAAACCTATCTCCTCCATTCTTCCACTTAAAATATTTGGTTGTACTATTTTTATCCAAAACATTGCTCCTAATAAGTTCAAGTTAGATCCTAAATCATTAAAGTGTGTACTGGTTGGATATTCTTCACTTAAGAAGGGTTATAAATGCTATCCTCCTCCTTCAAAACGATTTTTTACCACTATGGATATAACATTTTATGAGCAGGATCCCTATTTCACTCAAGCTGAAATTCAGGGGGAGACATGGAAGGATTTTCAGCCACATCAGGTATCTCCTCCTACTCTTCATTCTCAACCTTCAGAATTGCCACCAATTTTGTCCTTAGCTACAGATTTGTCACCTGTAACTACTCCCATTGATCCACCGGTAGTACCTATCACTACTTCACCCATACCCACTTTAAATACTCTTCCTGAAAATACACCTACTCCCATTCAAAATATTCCACAAACAACACCAATCAAACATCTCCGTTTCTATACAAGGAAAAGAAAACATATTCTTGAGGCTGTTTTGCAATCTAATGCTTGCCGAGAATTGAATTTGGGTCCAGCTGTCGAAAAAGAAGAAGAAATTAGTAAGTCCACTTCCCCTACTCTAGATGACTTCCCTATTGCTATTAGAAAAGGGGTTAGACAGTGCACCAAGCATCCTATTGAAAAATTTGCTTGTTATAATTCATTGATGCCGTCTTTTCAAGCATATACAGCAAACTTGGATAAAGAACAGGTTCCCACAAGTATAGCTGAAGCTCTAAAGGATTCAAAATGGAGAAGGGCTGTTGAAGAGGAAATTTGTGCACTGGAGAAAAATGCTACTTGAATTGTTACGGACCTTCCTCAAGGAAAAAAGACTATTGGCTGTAAATGGATCTTTACTGTAAAGTATAACTCAAATGATAGCATCCAACGATACAAAGCGAGACTAGTGGCCAGAGGCTTTACACAAACATATGGGATAGATTTCACAAAAACTTTTGCACCTGTGGCGAAGCTGAATACTATTCGAGTACTCCTAAATTTGGCTGTAAATTGCGATTGGAAATTACACCAACTTGATGTAAAAAAAGCTTTTCTTAATGGCAAGCTAGAAGAAGAAGTCTATATGAAGTTGCCACCTGACTTAAAGTCTGTTGAAGGAAGTAACAAGGTGTGCAAGCTCAACAAGTCTCTATACGGGTTAAAACAATCACCCAGAGCTTGGTTCGAGAGGTTCACTAAAGTCATCCTAAAAAACGGCTACAAGCAATCCCTCGCCGATCACACTCTTTTCATCAAGGTAACTTCTACAAATAAGAAAGCTATCCTTATTGTGTACGTGGACGACATAATTCTTATCCGAGATGATGAAGAAGAGATTTGCAATTTGAAGAAGTTGTTAAATAAGGAATTCGAAACCAAAGACTTGGGAAAGCGAAGGTATTTCCTAGGAATGGAGATGGCAAGGTCAAAAGAAGGACTTGTGATCAACCAAAGAAAATATGTACTTGATTTACTCAAAGAAACTGGTTTTCTTGGTTGTAAGCCGATTGATACACCAATGGAGGCAAGCTTGAAATTTAACAAAGAAGATGGGTCCTTGGAAGACAAAGAGAAATTTCAAAGATTAGTTGAGAAACTAATTTATTTATCCTTGACAAGGCCAAATATAGTATTTCCTGTAAATGTGATAAGTCAACAAATGACTAATCCTACTGAAGAGCATATGGCAGCAGCAAATAGAATTCTCAAGTACTTGAAGAAAACTCCAGGACACGGTTTAATGTTTAAGAAGACACATGACAGAACTGTTAAGATCTTTACAGATTCTAGTTGGGCCGGAGACCTTACTGAAAGGAGATCCACTAGTGGCTACAGCACCTTTGTTTGGGGAAACCTTACAACTTGGAGAAGTAAGAAACAATCTTTCGTTTCAAGAAGTAGTGTTGAAGCTGAATTTAGAGCACTAGCATTGGGAATATGCAAAGGAATTTGACTACTTAAACTACTGAAAAAACTTGTCACTAATCAAGAGGATCACTTTGAAGTTTTGTGTGATAATCAATCTGCTATTCAAATTGCCAAGAACCCAGTTCAACATGATCGGACAAAGCATGTTGAGATTGATAGACATTTTATTGTTGATCAAGTTAACAAAAAGACAGCCACACTTTCATACATTCCTTCAGAAGAACAAGTTGCAGACATTCTTACTAAGGCTTTGCCAAAGACTGTTTTCAATAAATTCCTATTCAAGCTGAGATTATACAATGTATATTCTCCAGCTTGAGGGGGAGTGTAGGAATTATAGAGATGATTTGTTACCATTCCTATAGAGATATGATTTGTTACCATTCCTATAGAGATATGATTTTGTAAATAGATTTCTACAATCCCTTATTTTAAGGGATCATATCCTAGGATTATTATTTTTCCTTTCTTAGAGTTTCCTACTTTAGAGAGATATTTTGTATATAAATATGTAATCTGTCATATTGAAAAGAATAAGAAATTACAGAGAATTACTCTGATTTCTACAGAATTCAATAATGTTTTATTACTTTCAAGAAATATGGATTCGCTATTCCCTGAAAAGTGGCATTTTACAACTAAAAGTCACAATGAAACAGTATGGAAAAGGATACACATACCCACTTGCTCAGGGCAAAAGAATAGCCTATTCATGTTAGCTAACTCCACTTTGTCATAATCATACAACAAAAGGCGACCTATACCACACCTTGTTAGCATCTCAGCTGCAACACTGCCAACACCACCGACACCCTGCAAGTCCAAGACGATTATCAATGAGAACTAAATTGGGAAAAGAATTATCAATCTACAACAAGATGGTGGAACTAAAAGTATGTGCTAGGCAAAACATCGTTGAAACATCTAGAAAATAGAAGAGAAAGGCATACAACTATGGCAACTGAGAATTCCCGAATCCTTTCGTAGTTCTCCACAATACCCATTCTTTGAAGTGCCATGAGCCTACTATAGGGATTGCTATCAACCACCTCAGAACTCATATCCTGCCAACAGATTATTTAGACATGCAAGAGTAGTAAAATCACAAACCATAATCAGAAGAAGACAGAGAAGGAAAAAACCTTGACTTTTGATCGTCGAACAGGTAGAGACTTAGCAAGATGAGTAAGATTGTCAACACGTGATTGCAGCTGAAAAAAATATATAACAGGTTACAACCAAAGTTCAAACATGTTCAATTTTCATAACTAAAACACATGATATTGTTATCTATCTCGAAGTCTTAACTTTTCCTATATGTTGTAAATAAGTTAAATCTTAACTTCACCTAAGAGAACCAATTCATCAGCTAAACGGAAACAAATACTACACTACCAACATTCACTGGTAGATCTCACAAAAGGCATTAAATAAGATATTCGCATGCAAAAAATTAACAAATTAAGTCAGAACTTTCTCCTCCAAAACCCAATTAATACATAAAAGTAGTGCATAGATCATCAAAGATCAAACCCAGAATCCAAATGAATCTCATTCTTCATAATTTAACAAGTACGAAACACAACAAATCTACAAACTCTATAGATCCTCTAATTCTCCAAAGAAACATCTTATAAAAGCATATACAATTAAGCATCCATGAATGTAAATGTTTCTAGATTGATGAAATCTGTGTACCTTGTCAACTGAAGCATGAAGAGAAGGATCAGACAGTGATTGTCTTAGAGACAGTATATCATCAAGCATCTCTTTCAATTCCACCTCCATTCTTCCGCTCTCTGTCCCTCTCGAAAGACCCAAAAAAATTTTTAAAGACCGAATCTAAAAAAACCTGCAAAACCGCTGCGAGAATGGATTTTGGTTCCCTTTAAATTCGTTTCCATTTTTGCACGCCTAGGGTCAATTCTTTCATTTATTGCCAAATCTGTTTCTATCTGTCAGAATCTGCTTTCTAATGTATATTCAATTTGGGTTGCAAGTGTAACAGAGTCCAAATTATAAATTTAAATTTGGGCTAAAATGGGAGACAAAATTGGAAATCTGAGCTTGGATAATCCATTATTAGAGTTAGTATGGTTTTGAGGCTTTGGCCCAATAGTCAAGAATTTATTAGTATTATACATATTATATATATCTATATATATGAGAGTTTATTAGTATTATATTTAAATATTAAATAGTAACTTTTAACTAATCTATTTAAATATTGTATAGAGTAAATTATCTAAATGATCATTTAATTTTTTGAGACATTGATTTTTATCACTCAAGCGTTAAACTCATAACGGTAGTTAATATTTTGATCACCTAACTTTTAGGTGTTAATGTTTTGGTCATTCAATGATTTTTTTAAATTATTTTAACTATTAAATCATTAAAATCTGAAATATAAATTAGGAGATCAAAAGAAGTTATTGGAAAATTTAGAGTTCAACATAAATCAATGATAACCGATGCGATGTTGATGATAATTTGAAAATTTTAAAAAAATATTGAATATAGAGATGAAAAAAAAAACAATTGTAAGAAAACGGGTGAAGAAGGAAAATGAGATAGATTTTGAGTTGCATTGTTAATAGATCGACGAATGTTGAGAACGCGAAGGTGATGATAATCATAAAATAATCGATGAAATTTAATCAAGTAAAATCCAACAATAGACATGTCAAATTGTAACGAGGTTAACTGACAGACTATATTTACACTATCACTCTTATTATTAACATGAAGATGTTGCAAATCGATAATCATATAAATCTCATAAGTAATCGTAACTGCTTCAGCAACTACAACATCATGATGATTCAAAGAGAGCTGACAGGGCACGCCATCATCAAACTGTGACAATTATATCATTCTTGAACTATATAATAGAGTCTAAAAACAAAGGTTTAGTATATTTTGGTCTATTTTAATTCATATTAATATGTACGGGTACATATCATGTTAAATTAATATTCTTGTTGAAAACAATTACTCGAATATTACATACAGGAGATTATTTGTTGGACCAGGGCGCTTGCTATAGAAATAGTTTTAGTTGTACTGTACTCCCGGCGATCATGGTGTGTCGCATGGATCACCATATATCTTTGAGTTAGGGTTGCATGGATCACATTACGTCTTAGGTTGACTCGCCTACATGAGCCATGCATAATTATAGCACGTAGTATAGCTGCCCATTTGATTCTCATAACTACAACTATATAGGCATTCCCTATATCCTAACTCATCATACCCTGCCAATTACAAGTTGTTGATACCAAATTATTTTTTCAAATATATATCTTGAAATAATCATCTTAAAACTAAAGAAATGAGAAACAATTAGAAGAGAGTATATTTGGTAGAGGGAACAATTGCAAAGAAGATTAATAGATGAAACATTTCAGATAATTTGGTGCGTTTTTTCTGTTATTCTGATTTGAGTAAGTGTGAAATTATTTGTTTAATTTTTTTATTTTTTATGAAATTATTTATTGAATATGTTAATTTTTTTTATGGACAAAAGAGATAGATTTTTTTTTTCAAATTAAATTGTTGAAAGAAATGGTGAATTAAGTGTGAATATATTTTATTTGAATTATTTTACGATTTATTGTTATGTTAATATTATTTATTTTTATGATATTTTTAGTTGTATTTTACCTTTACATATTTATTTTTGTTATGTTTATAATATTTTTATATCGTATAATATCATTTTAAGATTTATGATCATAGTATAACTATTTATGTATTTGTAATTTTTTTTATTCCAAATACAAGTTTTTAATCCATAGAGAAAATGAGCAACAACTTTTTCATGATTGCCCATCATACAGACATACTATGAAAATAAGGACGAAGTTGTTTTTTAGTCTGAAAGTCCTACAGGATATGAACTACACCAACCAACTTTTGATAAGAGGTTTATGAATTTTAGGTGATTTATGGTGAGCGTGTTTGGAAGTAGGCTTCAAACTTTTCATGGGAAAAATGATCGCAAGCATATGATGATGGTTGGAAATATGGACACATGAAAACAAACCTTGTTGAGACCATTAATTCGATACTAAAAGGTACACGAAATCTCCTAATAGCTAGTATGGTGCAAGAGACGTACTTTAGGTTGGCTAAAGTTTGGTCCGATAAAGGGATGGAGTTTGTGTGTCTCATAAAAAGATGTCAAACTTGGGCTCCTACAGTGGTGGAAGCAATGGAAGCAAACGAGTGATTGACAACCTCAATGTTTGTTCATAACTTCGACTGAATTGGTCATACTTTTATTGTGTCATGCATATGTCACAACGAATGAAGATAAATATGGTGTGATTGTGGTCACTTTTAGGCATAGAGATATCCCTATGCTCATACAATTGTTGCATGTATGTATGTTGGTATAAAAGCGTACATTTATGTTGATGAGTGCTTTCACTTAGAGGTAATATTAAATGTCTACAAATATGAGTTTGGACAGATCCCAAATGAATCATATTGGCAAAAAAAAGTCTCATGATGAATGTCTACCTAATTTAATCCTGCATAGAAGTCTAAAAAGTCGACATGAGTCCATACATATTCATACCAGTATGAATTTTCATAGTATAGAGAAAGGTCAGCCAAAGAGATGCAGATTATGTAGGGGTGAAAGTCATCAAAAAAGTATCTAAATCTAACAAGATATATGCCTCATCAGTAATCGTATTTGTATTTGTATTTGAACGAATAAATATTTGATTTTCTATTTTTATTTCAATTTGAATGAATTAAGAATGAATGTTTGGTTTTTCCTATTTATTTTTTGGATGAGTGTGATAAATTTTCATATTTTATTTAAATGAATGTTTCCTTATTTATCTTTTTAATGTGTGTGATTGATTTCCACATTTTATTTGAATGAGTATGATAAATTAAACGAAATTAAACCATCATTTGAATTGGTAAATAACATTTTTTATATTAGTTTTTATACAAAAAATAATGAACCGTTTATAATTCTTGTCAATGTCGGGGTGTAATAGAATAATAATATTGAGGTGGACGTCGATTGGTTTGTGGTTGCTTATGAGTCTAGTAGTCATCCTCCTCATTCACTGAGGGCATATGATTCAGTGTTGTAAATATATATCCACCACTCTACTCTCCCATCTCTGATAGAAACGTAGAATGACAAACAATAGTATTTGACATCATAAATATCATGTGCTCAAAATCATACGTTGATTCAAACATGATAGAGTAGATGAGTGCCTAAAGATGCATAAACTCGAGTATGTATGTTGGAACAACAGAATCATTAAACGCTTGATGAAATGATCACGCATCGCCCAATGATTGTGTTGGTCTATCATCCACATGTGTTGTTTCTGCTTCATGGTGAAATGAACTCTCACTCCATTCGGTATAGATTTTTTGGCTTTATCAAAAATTTTCTTTAATTTTAAAAATTGTTGTCTTTCTCTCATTGTTGTCATATGAGTTTCATTATCCTAATAATTAAGGTAAAGCGAAGTCTGAAAACCAAAGTTGTCATCTTGAATGAGACTAAGAGTTGACAAGGATCAAGCTCTATTGTTCCAAGCATTAATGTAGATCGTATGTTTCTCAACCCAATTCACTATGTGCTTATCTGTAATACCCCAAATTTTGTCTAGTGACTAAAATGTAAGTTTTAAAAATTTGGTGGCTAAAGTATAAACTTGTAAAAGTTTAGGGACTAAAAATATAATTTTAAAAAGTTATATATTTAAGCCCGTAAACGAATAGTTTGGCTTAAAATAAGGATTTTTGTGGTAATCAAATTTTTGGTACGGGGTTTGTGTTAAAAGTTATAAACCGATAAAGTTTGATATCGAAATCGGATAATCGGATTGAACCAGAATTTTACAAAAAATTGAAGGATGCTAGATGAGTGTTGGAAATATTATTTTTATATTTTAAATCAGATAAATTTAGCACATATTAGTGTAATTTTTAGATTTGACCGAACAGTAGAAAATTTAGAGAAAAAAAATACAATTTTCAAAAATTACATGGCCAAAGTATAAAGTCAAAGCCAAGTTGATTCATCTTTGACTATAGAATATTTTAATGGAAGATAATGCAATGGTATTTGGTAATTATAAAGGTTCATTAATGACAAATTAAGGATTTCTCATTAATTGAATTTAATATTCAATTATATTATTAAGACATGTGTTAAAGTTAATTTAACACTAAAATAATCAAGAAAACTAGCAAACTTTTCAACCATTTCTTCTCTCCAAGCCATGAGTCTACATACAAGGAAAAAAAATTTTCAAGTTCATTTTAAGGTTACATGATTGGTTTTTGGATTAAGGTGTGAAATAGAGAATTAATCTACATGAAATTCTGTATTATTTGGTATAGATATTACATGGTGAACATGTCTATTTCATGAAATTGGAAATTAGGGTTTATGCAGGGTTTAGGGATTTTAAAAGATTGATGAAAGATTATTATGTTCTTGATGTTGGAGATCAATTTTAAGGCATGTGTGATGATTAAAACCACTTGAAATTGGGTATAAGACTATTTGGCCATGACTAGGGTATGAAGAAAATTTTATTTGGATAATGTTAGGGGTTTGATTTAGAAGTTTAGAAATGTTGTTTAGAGGTTGAATTGATGCTTGAATTAAGTATGAAATCATGGAATCCCTTCCTTATAGTATTCGACCATGGGGAAAATTTGGGGGGTAATATTGAAAAATTTCCTATGGTTTAGAATTGATATTAGAAGTGTTCTATGTGAATTGGAGATCAATTTGGAAGCTTAAATTAGAAAAAGGGCTAATTTACTATTTTGAGAATGTTGGGACATTAATGATAAATGTGAAATTTGAGGTACTAAATGTTGAATTATATGATAAATGCTGGAAATTTAAGTAGAAAGTTGATTGGAATCAAATTTCAAGTTTGCTAAAGTTGAGGTGGAATTTGA